TCCTGCTGGAAGGCAACATGCTATGATGCAAGTTCAGTCTCCCACTCCCTGCTGCACACAGACCAATTGAAAACATCGCCAAGAACGTGTAACTCTCAAACATCGCTAGAGGAGTTCAGGAGGCGTTCAGAGTATGAGGTTCCCCTCTGTCCCTTTTTGTTACTGCTACACAGAATTTATTTTACAATGTTATCTCCTTCCATGTTTGAAGTTGGATTGCCTTTCCAGAGGGATCTGCTTCCATCCATACTATCATGGTTCAAGGTACATGTGCCATGCAGTAGACACACTACAGAAATGTCAAAAGCCTACCACAAAGCATTATTTCAGAATATTCTTTTCTGAAAATGAGACAAGGTGTCATTTTTGTAACAATGGTGCTCGTAAATATTTATGGCAGATGATTATTTAGTGTTAAACTATCAAACATCATTTTACCATTTCAATTTTAAAAACAACGAAGCAGCAGCATTTCTGAAAACCCACAGAACTTAAAAACTCACCTTTAGAATTTTAATAATAAAACATCTGAAAGTAACTGACTTAATTAGCTCCTTCAAAAACTAAATGAATCAATCAGCTAAATTTTTGCCCTCCTTATGCAAAAGTCAAAGTTTTATGTAAAATGTTATTTGCATTCTAGAGCAAATTTTACAATGGTATCAAAACTTCAGCTATGCCAGAGCTCATTTCTCCTTCCCTGAAAGTCTGCAAAACTCACCACTAAGCCACACTTTGGAACAGAGTATTGCACTAAACACTGCGCATACAGTCAAATTTTAAAAATGTGACTCCATTTCTGTAAATTTAAATGTAAGAACCTGTGTGCACCATGCATTGAGACAGACCAGTGATTAGACTTTAGAATAAAAACGTGGCTGTGCACTCACAACACATAAGGAAATGATATACCACACACATACTCAGAGGAATGCATCACCCCTGCCAAAGTAAATCTGAACCAATGCAAGAGCTCTGGGGCATACAGTATGGTGATTGTCACAAGTCAGTGTTGCAGCTAAAGAACTCAAACTTTTCAGACCTTTTCTGAGGCTTATTACAGTCAGTAAGATCTTATTGTGCTCTCCTGTAACAACACCTACTCAGAAAGAAAACAAAAAAGCAAAACAAGACTTACACTGCTGTTTTTAGATTCTGCACTCGTATCACTTCTGCAAATGTGTGCCCTCTGGAACTAATGCAATAAACCTGATGGACAGGCCAGCTCCCAGGAAATAACTCAACTTTGGAATAACAAATGCATACCACAGTTTACATGCCTTTCAGGAAATAATTTAAATTGTTCATCTACAACAAAGTCTTATTGTGAATTAAATGTAATAATTCTTACTCACAGACTGCAAGTGCTTATAACGCATACCTTGAGCTAAAAGTTGTCTGCCCTTGCAGAGCAGTTTTTCAAAGAAACAGCACTCATTGCATAGGAATGCCTCACTTCTTTAAAATGTGTGTTCTGTCAGAATCTACTTTTAATCTATAGTTCTATGTATTTATAAAAATGGATCTAGAAGGTAGTTATAAAAGTAAAATCGTGAATACAGATTTAATAGAAAGACATTCTCAGCACCTGTATCTGTGTCTTGCAGCATGCTAACATCCAGTTTGTTAATGGAGTTTGATTGTTAAAGGATTATTGCAACAGCCTTGCAAGTAACTTACTTTAGCATAAAATTGACTCTGCTGCTCACTCCCCATTTTACATTTAAGTGGAGACTATATAGAAATTCTGCTGTTTATATTATGGAGTTTTCATATGGAAAGAAACACACCACAGTTCTTTGTTTCTATTTGTTAGCAGTATTTGATCACGAGAGAGGTAAATTTTGAAAGCTATCTGTAAATTTCTGCTGCAGTTGCAGTCTCCACATTGCTAGAAACTACACATAAAATATTTTTAGAACACACTTTGGACTCTTGTGTCTTGTGTTATTTGTAAAATGCACAGGATGACTTAAGGTTCACCGTATGCAGCGCAACGCATCTGTTCTACTGCTCAGTATTTGGAGACTATATAGAAATTCTGCTGTTTATATTATGGAGTTTTCATATGGAAAGAAACACACCACAGTTCTTTGTTTCTATTTGTTAGCAGTATTTGATCACGAGAGAGGTAAATTTTGAAAGCTATCTGTAAATTTCTGCTGCAGTTGCAGTCTCCACATTGCTAGAAACTACACATAAAATATTTTTAGAACACACTTTGGACTCTTGTGATATTTGTAAAATGCACAGGATGACTTAAGGTTCACCGTATGCAGCGCAACGCATCTGTTCTACTGCTCAGTATTTAAAGAAGTCTATGTTATTTGGAATACAACACAACGTATCAGAACGTTCTTCAACAATGCAGTTTTCTAGTACTATAATTTGGTATATAATTGGGAAAAAAATTATAAACTTAAGAAACAATCTTAAGATATTAAACCAATCAACTCTTAGAACAAAAAATCAGAGCAATCCTGAATTAATTCTGTCTAGCTGCCTAGCTGTTTGATACGCTGCAACCATTGAGTACAAGGCTCCTCCAGTCGTACTGCAGGTGCCACAATGTCAATATATTCCACAAACATTTAAATGACTTAAAAGAGAGCACAGCAGCAGAAGAGATGGTGCAGCTAAGCAGTTAACAGCAAAAGATGAAAGGCTGCTTTATGTTAGCCAGAACTTCTAATGCTATTTCTATGGTGCAATTGTGATTTTGGTTATTGGAAAGTAATGATACACAGGGCTGTACCACACGTGCAGAAGCAAACCTCAAAATGTTAAGACATGCTGCGTCCCATTCAGATATGTTACTTCTTACAGACATGACAGCAAATAGCAGTTTTATGCAGATTGCATTGATAAAAATCTTCACTTAGAACCATTACTGTTCATAAAAAAAAAACCCAAACAAAACCGATCATAACGACTAGAAACCCCTTTCCGTGTGTACACTTTCCACCATAGCTGTGATGCATGCATTTCAACCTGAAAGTTGCTTTTGACTTTGACAGAATCCTAATATTAGCACTTATGTCTAACGCAACCAGCAGCACTAATCAGAACGAGAAGTTCAGCAAAAATAGTGCCCTTGTGCTCCTGGAAAGTCCATTTTGCATCCTACTAAGAAGAATTCTAGTACTCTCCTGGAACTGAAAAGCATAACCAACTTTAACTTTTCAATACCTAAATTGTTGAAAAGATACACCAACGTCTAATCATTCAGAACCAACTTCAAAGCATAGCACTACTTTGTCCTCACACATGTCAATTTTGGAGAGCAAGAAACATCTTCGACACAGTTAGCTACTAGGCATGTCTCCAAGAAAGTAAGAAGTTACTGACGACATTTAGGCTTGAAAAAAAGGTATGCAGTATGAACAAGAATGCAGTGCAATGTAAGTTGACTCTTCAGTTTTTATAATACAGAAGAGATGAATAAGAATAGAAATAACTGTTTTTTTAAAATTTTAAGACAAAATACTTTCCTTGAACAGATGGAAGGACAATTAATGAGTATATAAAACAGCGATGGTTAGAAAGTCATAACTCCCTTGCCTCGGGCAGAAGACATATTCCTTTTCTGTATAGATGCTTTTGCAGTTTCAGACACGTGTTTGAGATCAATAAATTTATTTGTCCTTGGTAAGGAGGCACAGTAAGAACAAAAATTCAGGTTTTGCAAACATCATCAGATACCAACTATAAGAAACAGGAAAAAATAAATACCCACCTAGCTTTGCCTCAGAAGTGTCCATCTCCCATTTGCTTTTCGGAATGTAACCCTAAATCATACACAGAGAGAAGCTCGGAGGATTAGAGAGAGACACACATGCAATCACTTTTGAACTGGAAACAGCATTATAACGGGAGCTTAAGGTATTTCTTTTTGTAAGGCACAATTCTTGTTATCAGATGAAGGAAACAAATTACTCGGTATTTCAGAACTTCTGCATCCACTTCCCATTCAGTGATTTTAGCAGCCCTTGCAAATGATTACAAGACTGCTGCCCTCTGCAAACACAGAACTCCGGAATGAGTTTAACAGACAGCAATGGCGCTGCGTGCACAGTTATTATATTATATTATCCCAGGTGGCAAAGTTACTGCAACACAACTTATCAGGCATAAAGAATATTCAAAGCTTTACAAATACAAATGAAAAAGTTGCCGTAGTCACAAGCTTTTAAGAATAGATTCCCAGATTTATGACACACAAGCTTCACTTAATCCTTTCGAAGGGACATACTAAGTTCTTGTATGAGTGGTTAGTCCACAACTAAACAAAATTCTTCTTTTAGTTTAAAAGAGAGTATCTACTGAATCACTAAGTATTATTTTTCATTTTAAAATAACCCTCTTAGTTCAACGATTCTTTTAAAACACTTTTTCCCCTAGAAAATGTCATCATACGTTTTACATGTAATGATATTTAGCCAGTTTATTCCTTGTAAATGAGTATAATGATATTAAATTTGGTAAAAAGTATTAATTCTAGATATCTTCTTGTTATCTTTTCATTTTATACTCTTGGATGAGTAAATCCTTCCTAAGCAACCCCTTATAACTCATGTCAGCTGCTCAGATTTGTTATAAAACTACCTAGGTTTCTCTGCAATCACATTAAAAGCTCAATGTAGTAAAATGGAACCCCTGTGAGAATGTCATTATTTTAAAGAATGATTTTTAATAGAGAGGGAAAAGAACTACTCTAGAAGATTTCAACAACAAACAATCCACAGACCAGTTTTATTACACTAACTTCTTTCCTGCTCTATCTATAGGTTGCCTCCACTGTGGTAAACATATACTTGTATTTCTTAATGCTCAGGGTTACTAAATCAGAGCGTACTATTCCAGAGAGCTACACTGCTTTTGATTACATTCAGCATTGCTCTTCCAAAATCCTTGAAAGACCTTTTTTCTATCACGCCTATATCAGTGACTTGAGATTATCAGATCTCTGTATTTTATTGTTTTTAATCAAGTCTGTAATTAATACAAACTAAGACAGTTTGTGCTGCAATATTTCCATGTAACAAATAAATAAACTTCATGTATATATGTATATTTATACTTTTAAACCAAGTTGCACATTAAAATTTGCTGAGAAAGTTTACACCACAGCTAGAAGCCTGTATTGAACAAAGTGATGTGTGATACACTGGTGAGAACACTTAAGTTAAATGCATCAATAATTCATACCATCAAGCACAGAAAAGCAAGAATTGTCTGAATGCTACAAACAACCCTATGGGAGTTGATAATAGCAACAAAAGAGTGACTTTGATGGTGTGAAATGGCCTATTGTGTGCTGAATCTGTACAATATCTTGGTCCTCAGATAGGATAAGGAAAGATTCAGACTCCATCCTTTGGTACAAGACAGTTGGATGTTTCAAGGACATCTGCCAGATGGCAGGAGCTTCAGACCTCTCTTTTTCCACAGGATTAAATGCAGCAAAATGAATTGAAGAACCCTTACCAACTGCTCTCAAGAAGGCAACAGATACCAAATACAGTGTACTGTTCCACCTTTCTGTCTGACATACCTCTGTCTGAGATTAGCCATGTGACTGAATAGCAGAGATTACATACAGCAGATAATTCTTTGCTAATTTTCATCTCTTGTGAATCTGAATAGAAAACATTCTTATATGTAGATTACTTTTAGTTATTAATAATTTGCATAGTTTTTACCACCAAGCTTTCTCCTTGTCTCATAAAGGACAGGACTATTGTTTTATGTGCTGTACATTAGGACACTCCCCAGAGCCCATAAACACATACATACATACACGCACACACACACTTATGCACAGGTGTCTCAAAAGCTAAAGACAACTTTCTTTTCTAGATATAGCTCATTTCCAAGAAATGAGACAAGCAGCCATATTCCTGTAAACATGGGTGCATCATTGAAATGTTCTAACCACACTTTATGCAGTCTCATACTCTGTGCCAAAGAATAATTTAGTAAAGAGAATAAATGAGTCATGTTGCAAAAAACAGATGTTTATTAAAATCCACTCTTCCTAAGCTTTATTTTTTTAATTCTGTATTTCAACTGCTTTCTAAACTGCCACTCCTGAGGAATAGTAAATTTCTATCAAGAAAAAGGACTTTGCTCGTCTCAGACATTTTTGGTTACTTCCTGTTTATTGGAGTTTAACTGCTTGGTTGTGGGAACCAGGGTTTGACACATTCAACTCATCAAGCACTGACCAGCTGCAGCTCCAACACACACCAAGAAGTTACATTAGGAAGCCTTCCATGGACTTTTAAATACATACCTAAGAACGTCAGCCCTCAGGGCAATTCTCTAACCTTCATTTATCCAAGAGACCTAAACCCTCATCTTGGAAATACCTACTGACAAAGTCAGCGAGCCTTGGCAGAGAAAGCATCCTTCTTCATAACTGTTGTCATACACTGTGGCAGTTGAGAAGAGTTCTTTAGACACGTGAAAGGAAATAAGCTAAATTAACATTTGCCCATTCTTCCCATCCCTCCACTTAGTGTAATTCTTACATAATCTGGAAGACAGCGCTATAGTGTACTGCAATTTATAAATGTCTGTAAGAGGCACGTTGCCATGCTCCACTGATAATGCTGTTTGTGGCACAGACTCACAGATTCTTAAAAAAAAAAAAGCAGTTCAGAATAATATGATTTAACATTAAAGTTCTCCTGGAAATGTTTACTGAACAAATGACTAGAAATGTGTGTATTAAGATTGCACTGCTAAGAATGGCAATGGGTTGGCATTTATAAGACTGAGACTTTCCCTCAAACACATTAACAAACATTTTGTTAGAGATGGCTGATGTGTCTCCTACCAGTTCACTTTCTTCCTCCTCTGCTGTATCCTTCTTCACTTCTTCTTTCTGGTCTTCAATATTTGCATCAAAATCCTCCATCTCCACCTGTTCCAAACCACAAGGCACAGACTTACAAGGCACTGCTTGACTTCTAAGTATTATCTTTTTAGCAGAGTAAGTAGAAGATTCCAAGTTCAAATAGAAGAGGAAAGAAAGGATTCATCTTGGAAAGTATGATGATGCAATATATATGAATACTGGCTCCATTTTGGCTTCCCTCAGAAGCAAGTTCCCTTCTAGCTACAGAGTGACAAACTGTGTGGGAAAGTAGCAATCGTTTATTCTCTTCCTTCAAGTGCATTCTTTATGCTCTAAGTGTCTATAACAGTAAGATACTTCACTTGCTTCCCACACAACCACGTTTCAAAACTTGAAATCTCAGAAAAAGATCCTAAACTTGCCATTTACACATCACTGGAATGGTGCGCTCTGCATAGAACATCTCTATCAAGCCTTTATCTTTTATGCATTTAAATATCACAGTGAAGAATAATAACCACAGAGATTAACATAATAAAGAAAATGGATGCTTTAAGACATACATCTAACCCTGCCCGTCTAATGGAATACTTTCTGTGGTCTACATCTCTAACCAGGATTCATGTGCATACCGTTGCGTACCTAAAATTCTTGAAGTATGTACAGTTCTTCATTACCATTAGTAAAGCCTTGATACACACAGAGTAAATCCCAGATCTGGCCTTTTCTGAGTCTACATGAGAGCTGAGCCTTTTGTTGTCCTCTTAAAGATTACTATTTTCCCATACAAAGAATTTGGAGATTCAAAAATAACCTGTTGACCTCATGACAAACTGCAAAGAGTAAACTCTCATCCTACTTCAGCAGTTCACCAGTTTCTATGGCGATGGCAAGAGCTGTTCTGACAGCAACACGCAGCTATGGTACATTCACGATGACCATATGATTAACACACTAATTTATTCCCAGAGCTCCTGAAATATCCTGCCAAAGAAGAATGCAACAATACAGAAAGCTGACACACCAAAGATGCATGTCGCGGCAAACTGCAAATGGAATAAAAAGGCAGCATATACATCTACAGCAAGTGTAATCTTTTGCCACGTTATTTATTTGTTTCTTCATTCTCTGCTACAGGTCTGTATTTCTCAAAGCAGGGACCGAGAGGAGCTCAAATTTGTTCATTTACTTATTTATTTTATCAAACTACTTCCTCAAATTATGATCCAATTAATCCAGTAACCTGAAACAGTGCTGAGTTTCATCTGAGAGAGCAAAGATCCTCTTTAACTGGTACTCAACAGTTGCTAAAGAGCAAAGTGGCTTCAATTCTTCCTCAAAGAGGTGTAAGTCTGGGCTCCAAAAAGGTGATAAAAAATAGCATGTACCTTCCTGTTTGGGTAATTGATAAGAATAATAGAATACACCTGTCTGACAGCTTGATTCTGGCTTTCTATATAACTGCCCTGTTGTGATCACACCCTTCTCTGCTTTGTATTTTCAGTATAGTCACATCTACATAATTTGTAATTTTAACAAAGCACAGAGATTCTCACCTCTTCGATAGCAGCATCCTGCAACAGAGAACGAATGTCCAGGCGCATCATGTGACGTGGTGCCGCCTCCCAGTGATCAGACATCTAACAAAAAACAAACAAAAATGAAACACCTCAAAAAAATGTAACAGATTGAATGGAAAATTGGGTTTCTGATCATGAACAAGATGTATCTGTACTTAAGAGAAGTAATTTCAATCAATCCCATGAAATAAGTACCAGCTCTTCTTAGAGGAAACATGTAAGCATTACGTAGCCTGAGAGAGGTCAATAGTTTTCCAACAAGAGCAGACCTGAAAGCACGATGAAACCTATCACTAATCCTATGACTCCAGATGTATACAGTTACCCTGCTGATTTCTTTTAGCTTGCGTCCGTGAATATTCCTCTTGGAACACGTCTGGTTATCTGCACTCATTTCAGCTAAGTACACCTAGAAAGAGAAAAGACAACATTAAATATTGTAAATAAATTTTTAGAGCTCTTTTTCTACTTGGTGATACACTCTGCAGTTGTACATTGTAAGAAAGGTAAATTTGTAACTGTAGACCACAGCATTTTTCCTGAATGTGGAAGGGACTTTGCATTCAAAAGTTTAGAAATAGCAGCATACAGGTACTAGCAAGTTCAAATGCTTTTTAGGCTCCATTACCTCAAAACCCTTGGTTTTTGCAGCACTCCAAAACTGTTCAAAATGTCGCACTCTATCATTGATAGCGTCAAGGATAATGAAGGGGAAGAAGCCATCATCCAAGGTCTTTTTGAAAGTTTTAAACATGCTGGTACGATAGGTCTCTTCCATATCAGCTTCATATTCATACTCCATCACCTTTATCAAGGACAAAAGCATTTAAGAAAGAGGACACCCATTAAATTGTTAACGTTCAACTGCTGAAGGTCACGACCACAAAGTACACTGGTATGATAAAAGCATCTTCCAGGTCAACTTTTAAGAATTTGCCCATTCTGCCCTTAAGTTATATTGACTTGTTCTGAAAAACAGACCTCTGCGCTCTTCCAAAGCCACAGACTGAAATTCTGATAGCCACTGTGTTGTTTCAGAATGTCTTGTTTCTTTATCGAGATAAGCAACTGAATTAAAAGTACCTTCTTTTTCACTTTTTTCCCTGTATCTGGGTCTCTCTCTTCTTTTTCCACTTCAGTGATAAAATAGTCATCCAGACTGAGCACTCTTGGTGCAGGTCCTCCACACTCTACTTCCTTATCCTGGAAGGAAAGCAAAAAGGAAACATATACTCTTGCTGTAAAAATTCCATTCTGCTATAGAGGATCTTCAAAACACTTCTGGCAAACAGCAGCTCCCTGCTCTATATTCAAAACAAGAAGAGAGCAGTATCCCTCATGCTTGCTAATAGCGGAGAGGATTCACATGCCACATGAAGACATGGAACATGAAATAACAACAGGCTGAAATTCCAGACAAACAGAAAGAAAACAGCAGAGGAAGCGCATGCAAAAGACAAGCAGCACTACACAGCGAGTGGTTGTTTACATACCCTGATGAGTTTTGCTACATGTGTCTTTCCACTGCCAGGCAACCCTCTCATTATGATTACAATCTGAAATAAAGATCATGTAAGAAGACAGGATACTGTACTACATTTAACAATGTCTTTTGCAAAAATTTTCTTCTAGAAAATTATGTGCTCTGGGCTTACACTTTTCCATATTATCAAGAAAAGCCAGTACCATGCCTCACTGCCTGTTTTACAAACCAGGTTGTGAGGAATGGTAGTAGTTCCACAGAATAGGAGTATATGATGTTGATAATCATGTCAGCAGCTTATACTGCATAAGATGTTACAGATCTGGTTCAGATAAAATTAACTGAATGAAATTTGTCTAAATGTTTTACAGCCGGAATCTTGTTCTTTCTTATTTTATATGGTGCATTGCCAAATCGCTGACTCTGTGTAAAGCCAAGTCTTTCCTCTGATACATCAAAGACCAAGTGAAGATCTCAGAAGAGTCTAAAATACATTAACATTACCCACTAATGGGAATTTCATCTTAGCATTCCCAGGAAGTTTACATCTCCTGTGGACTCCCAAGAGCTACACTACAACACTCAAGGCATTTGCAAAGGAACCAAGAGAATTTCCAGAGTTTCCTCAAATGTAGGCTTGTTCCCAACATATTACACTCATGAGCATTTTATCCGAATACAGACCTCATAGAAACCGATTGTTGCTTTCACAATGCATACTCACTCTCTCTGGCCTGCTATCCCGTCCTGGTGGCTTCAAAATATCATCTACATTTTTAGATTCTGGTTTCCTTTCCACCCGTGGAGCAGGTGGTGGCTGGCGGGGCATTGATGGAGCAGAAATTGGAATCCTTTCCTCAGGGTAATTTCTACGATCACCTTCAAATTCCAGTGTTTGGACAGAAGAATTTTCTTAGTTCAGTGAAATAAAAAAATTAAGATGTTCATATCCAGCTGAGCTGATTTAAACACACCTTCATTATTTTAGGATAAATTCACAGCTTTGTCCCCAAAATAATTCAAATTTCTAATCTTGAACCTATTGCAACCAAAGACATTTTTTAGCAGAGTATGTAACCGTTGCATTCCTGATCTCACCACCACTGAGAAACAAAACTACATGACACTGCCCAAATAAATTTTCCTGAATTATATATTCTGAACAAAGAAATACTTCAAATCAACTAATCTTCACCTCTGCGAGTCCATGTTTTTCATAATATTCTAGCATGGCTTCAAGATTGAGAAACTGTACCTCCAAACATGGAAGGCCCATGATCATATGCTGGACGATCTGTCTTTCGTTCATATGGTGGTCTTTCAAAACCACCCCGCCTGGAGGAAGGATGGTCTTTTTTGTCACGGTAAGACTGAGTCCTTGAAGGTGTAGTAGGAAGAACCCTGCCAAAAGAGTATTTTTCGTATTTCTAGAATTTCTACTATACATTCCAGAGAGAAATGAACGTGTACCTCACAGGCAAAATGGACAGCCTGATATCCAATACAGCCTGAATTGTACAGATTTTAATAGTGTTCCAAAACCATGTACCTATCATCTCGGGGATGCCGCTCTTTGTCAAATCTCTCTCGTTCGTAGTCCACAGAACCACGGTCTCTGTGCAGTTCCCGCTCTCTCTTGAAATCCCGATGATCTGTGTTGGAATTACCTTGACGCTCAAAATAAGGCTCACGATCTCTTTCTCTGTTGTAACGACCAGGGTGCTCTGAAAGGAGAAACCCAGGGAAATCCAAACTACTAAAACATACTCTGAATTTTGTATTCTTTTTGAAGGAAAGCAACAAACAAAAGTGCGAGAAAAGTATATAGAAACACATGATGTGAGGGCTAAAATGGAATTAATCAGCCACTGAATCTCTTTTCCAAACTGTAACAGACAATCATACCATGAAATCCTACTTAAAGCTACAAAACTGAATTTTTAAACTGGCTAAGTCATTGACTGCCTCTTGACAATATAAACTGTTAGTCTTATGGGCCTCTGAAGAAAATAAAGTCATTGTAGCTTAAACAAGATTTACTTAGTTTAAAACATGCTTTTAGTGCCTTACAACTTTTCTTAAGAGCTAAGTGTCTGAGAGCTAGCCAAGTGCTCCCTACCTTTTTGAAATGTTTGCCTCTCTGGTAGAGGTTCCGGACGCAGGGTTACCCTCTCCCCATATGGAATCTGTTCCACTTTACTGGTGGTTATATCTGGTTAAAAATAATAAAAAAAATAATCAAGGTCTTAAAATACCCCGCTTCCATTTCCTTTCCTCTGTCATGAAAAACAATCAGTCAATGGCATTAAAAGTGACTGGAATAGCTTACCAAAATTTCTTTTAATGGATAATGCAAAGAGAGCTATACATAAATACACAACACCATGGTTTTGAAAGTCTGAAGCAGGTTTGTGTGTGTGTTTAAGTATGCATACCACTTTGTCTTAAGAATGGGACTTCTGCCTGTTCAGATGAGTTCAGGTAGCACACATGGTCAGAAGATTATAAACATTAAAATGCTCTGAAAGTTTCAATAACTCATTGAACTACTGTATTGTCAAGATCATTAACTGAAACAGTCACTTTAGATTCCTAACAGTGACAATTTTTCTAACACCTTTTAGTAAAACATTTACTTAATGGAATCAATATGGCTTCAATTCATTTCACGGCACCTTAGAGAGAAAAAACGTACAACGCACAATTTAAGAACTTCTTTACAACATTATTTCACTCCCGTTAAAAACTAAGGATGAGAGAAATTAATTCTATTAAAAAACTAGTGTTGAATTTTAGCTTTGATAAGCTCAATACTAAAAATCAGATCCCTTCTACCATTTGTGTGTTAAATGCCTGTTTAAGGTGCATGCCCTTCAGAACTAGAACTTTATTTCCCTCCCTGTCTAGAGGGTACCTCACACCCATTAAGCAGTATATAAATAATGCAAACACCAGTCACATTCTGCTTTAAGTTACTAAGTCACACCTAAGAACTGTAACAATCCGAAGTACTTTCTAGCACAGTTATTTCCATACTCAGCTACAAAGGTATAAGGGAAAGTACCAATATCAATCTAAATATAACACATTGATGTGATCACATCAGTTGGTGTTTATTAGAAGCAGACGTGGCTATACACCATTTGGTTCACATGAAATAGCTCATTATCACAACACTGAAGAAAGCATTAAACTCAAGGCTGGAGGTTACAGACTCCTTAAAACTGCATTGCTTAGCATTAGATTGCAATGTTCACAGTCTACAGGTCAACTGCAGAACATCTACTAGAGCATGCTTTGAGTGTCACATTCCTCTAGAAAGAAGCTAGGAGGACTAATTAGCTCTCCGTTACAGATCAAACGAATACACTGTAATACCCACCTCGCCCGTGGCCATAATCCACGGTTTGTTGAATTACAGGTGCTTTAGGAACCGGGGGAATAACCGGAGGAAGGGACACTGGTACAGCTGACGGAACAGAGGTGTGAACGGCAGGTACTTTCACAGGCGAGGAGACAGGTGGAGGCATCATTGACTCTTGTTTACACAACTCGTACTCCATATTTGCTCCTTTATCCTCATTTGTGTCCCAGAGTCCGTGGAAAGAATCTTCATCCCAGCGTTCCTGTTCCACAGCAGAAGGTGATGGTTTTAAAGACTGATCATGACTTGGGGTTGTAGTTGGAGTAGAAACTGGAGCATGTGGCCTTGTCATAGGTGTAGCAGGCCTTGTCAGTGGGGCACTTGGTCTTGTCACAGGGGTGGGCTGTCTGAACAACACGGGAGGCTTTATAATAACAGCAGGAGAAGGTTTAATAGCTTGGGCTTCTACTGGTGCCTCTGAAGATAGCTGAGAAGAGACCTAGATGCAGAAAGCACTTTTAATGTAGATCTGTAAACTAACCTTCTCATATCCTCTGTAAGTCAGTAAGCACAACGGCAATTGGTAATGAAATCATTAGTATTTTCTAGTACCTCCATCAAGGTGCTACAGGTAGGAGGACAGTATTTCAAGAACTGGTGGCCTGAATTAATTTGGTGTTTGTTCACTATGTGAAGGCTTAAATACTATTTATTTTCTCCTTCAAAATAACCTTACCAATTTAAGCTCCAGTAGGCCTATCTCAGTTCAAAAGTGTCTACGGTTTTATTCCCAAAGACTCCTGCTGTCTGCAAAGATTACTGCTGTGTGTGAGGAGGCTGAAAAAGTCTGAAAGTAGGGCAGCTTGGTGATGCACAATAGGATTGATAAGGCCAGCTTCTTTCTGGAAGTCAGTGGAAAAATTCCCAGAGAGCAGAATCACCTGGAAACCCCTTAATGAAATCAACATCAGATCAACATAAGAAATCGGGAGGTCTTGCCCAGTGGAAAAAAACAACAAAACAAAACCCCTTCATGAACCAAACATTCCCATGGAGCCTCATGTGCTGTGTCACAAGTCTTTTCAGCATCACAGCAGATGCCAAGTTACAGGCAGCCTTATTAGCAACATGCAACAAAACTTGCAGAATGGTTGTAGATACAAAGCTGAACTTTGTAGTAACAGTTCAAAGTCACAGCAGAAGTCTGAAGGAAGGAATCCCAAGAAAGAAAACAGTTGTTTGAATACCTTTAGGCAGATAGGTGAAGTAGTCTGAGATACAAAATATCAAAGTTGAGTAAAGTCATTTCCTAAAGGCATCAACATATCTGCAGTTCTTGGTAGCAAACCTGTTCCATTATTTTACTTTATAGACACTGTAAACAAGGAAGAGGTCAACTAGGCAAAAAGAAAACTCGCAGTGCCTCATTCCCTGCGTAACACTTCTGTGGAGGGAGGGACAGACAAAGCTTGGTCTGGCTAAATGTCAGACCCAGAGGTCAGTACAGCTAAATTTATTGGTACCAGTAACATTGGGGTTAAGATGTGATGAAGAATAAAGACTGTGCATTGACTCAGGTATCTCCTCCAACATGCATTTAACAAAATTGTTTATTCGTTCTAAGAAGGATTTATAAACCCGAGTTAACATGACTGTAGAGGCTCAGCTGGTCTCTGACCAGGTATGAATTATCAATAAAACAAATGTAAGAAGAGTTCCCAGAACCAACCACGAGATTAAGCAGCAGAGGAATAACTTGCATCACAATGGGAGATGAAGTCATGAAAGTACACAAATGTGAACTTCCATGCACTTTATGATATTCCAGAGGGTAATGAGAATTCCTAATAAAGACATCAAATAGAAAGCTAATGCCCACTTTACATTGAAATATCTCAGTTTTTGATGAACAAATCCTCAAATTTCTCTCTTTAATTTAACCTCTTCAAAGAGCAGAAAGCTCTTAAAGTAGAAAAAGCAGAGCAAGACTGGAATTAAAGACAGCATCAGAACCGAGCAAGGAACAGGAGGGTATTCTCATGAGCCTTATGCCCCTGTTTTGGAAGAGCTCACTGTTGCATATCATCCCACAGCAGTCCAGGCTGTTGAACCTCAGGCACTACTGTCCCCAATGGGTCATGCTCAGAGGACACAGTGGACTGAACGAGTAAGAAAGGCTTTGGAAAAGAAACTATGAAGTTGCTTTGCCTCAACAGAAGATTGAGGAGGTTGTAAAGGCTGCTAGGGAGGCATTCCACAGAGAAGTTTGACCATCAGAGTGCAGAACTGATCTGACATACACATTAACAATAATTGCTACTAGCGTGTTATTAAGTTAACACAAGATGAATTTACCTGAAAGGCACCTGGCCTTGTGGTTGTGTTCTGTGATCTAGGAGAGTCCTGTGTGGAAATGTCAGGTTTAAACTCTTTCAACTTCTGTAGCTGTTCTTTTTGCTCTCTGCATATGAATCACAAGAAAGTGTTATCAGTCTGTAGCTTAAATGCAAAATTAAAGAAATGAATGCTCACAGTGAAAACCAAGTATTATGCTAGCACTAGGGGCCAAGTCCAAAGGAGAAAAGGACACAGCAGACAGCAGACTGTAAAGACACAGTCAACACTATGATTCAGAAAACCCCTGTTTCAGATTCACCTAACCATGGAGGTATTTAATATATTAGCTGCCTCCTTTTTTGATCACAAATTTCCTCTGCAACATGCAGTTATGCTTTTGTGCTTGGCCAGAACCACTCCACTTTGACAGGAAAGATTTTAGCTTCTGACAACACCTTCTGCAAACCAGAAGCCCACTGGAGATGCATGCCCTAGTGCTCTCAGTGACTTGGCTCTGGGTTGCACACTAACAGGATCGAGGCCAACGCAAAGCACAACAGAGACTCCAATATTTAAAAACAAAGCACTGACGTCAGCTTTTGTTTCCTTGTTTCACGTATCAAAATGCTACCTAGTCTATGGAGCAGAGACCAGGACCAGCAGTGAATACTACAACCACCACGTTACAAAGATCTATCTATTCAATACGATTTCCTTTCAGTTTTTGTTTGCATCTTTTTATCTAGTTTTTTACTGCTAATAATCCTTTATTGATATTAATTGCGTGTATTAAAGTAGTGCCCAAAGAACAACTAAGAATGGGATCCCTCTGTACTAGGCATAACAGAGGTCATCCTGACTAGCAACCCATCTGTTCAGTGCAAGGGGAACTTGGCTTACAGAAAGGGATCCGAAGTGCTGCATTAGTAGAAAGAGTAAACTGAGCAATTGCTAGCACTTAAAAGGTCTTCTTTACATCTGGCTTAGGAAAAATACACCAGACGACAAATACAGAACAGCATGCAGCTCAGAGTATGCTGTTTTACACACAATAAAAGCAAAGCCAGATGAAGGCTTTAGCTTTGGAGATGAAAGCATTTATGCACCACACTACTGGTGTAACTTTTGGCTCAAAAAAAACATCAGCAATCTCCTTACGGTTGTTCCTACTGTTCAGACTGGGGTCATCTGCTTATAAGAACCTGACGAGAAGTACCAGTGTAACCAATTTTTAAGATTATCCTCATATTAAATTAAAAATCAGTATCAGTAGTGTCATGTTTATATTTCCCCTTTTTACTGACTTAGAGGTATATATATCTACTTTCTTACATAAAATGTTTTAGTTTCTGTGTTTAAATATTTCAGCCCTAATAAATCATTCACTTAGGCAGTGATTCCCAAACTACAGTCCTTAGATTAAGTCCACTGGATTGCAGCCAGTCATATTAAACAGCAAAACATACGCCTGGCAACCTAAGGCACTGGGAAAGTCAGGAAGCTGAAAATGATCTGTTGCTCCCAACTTTTGCAAATATTGCTTTGTAACACAGATCTCACAGTTATTAATACCTGTTGAATTAATCTAATTGCAGTGAAAGATTAAATTGTTGAGAATAAAAGTTCTCCCTTTTTTAAAAATTATTTTTCTTGCATTTTGGCATGCAACTAAGGCCTTCCATATGGCACAGATGCTTAGCAATCTTTTGAGTCTGAAAACAAAACAGCTTCAAGAAAAGCACAAAACGTCTCTGTATCTTTCAACATGGGTTAATGTAAATGTAATAATGATAACCAAGCATTAATTTTAATTGCCCATTATTTTAGCATAATACTTTGTTTATGGTATACCCTGGCTTTACTAGGCACCAATCCTTCGCTATCTCTCAGTAATTCATGAATAGGATGAACTACATGAACCTCTGTCTCCAAGATGCTTCCTCTTTTCTCTACAATCTGCTCTGAAAGATCTCATTCACTGAAAATAGTCAAAGAAACTCAACTTTCAGTTTTTTTTTTAACGCACCTAAACCCATACACCAAATCACAAAGATAGCATTTGGATAGACAGTATGTGCTCCATTCATTCTAATACTACTAAATTTACTGAGTCCTGGATGTTTCTGATGTTTAAGAGGATATTCTATCAGTTATTTTGAAATAAACACCTATTAAAGCCTTAGGGAGTCTAGTAGCTGCTTTCTAAAATGTGGTCTTGGTGAACTCTTGCATTCATATCCTCCTGATTGTTATCACTGCTGTTATGCTGTTCCTCAGAACTAAGACCAACCAAACTTGACGAAATTATTCACTGACTATGCTGGATTTCAAATGATAGAGCATTGTAAAAAGAAGAAAGAAAAAAACCCACATATGCTTTAATTAAAAAGTAAGCAGTATCAAAAAATTAAATAGGTCCCATTGTGTGAATTAAGAACCACATTAATGTAGATCTTGACAGGCAAGTATTAAAAAGCAGTTATCCACAAGCTCATCTGACACTAATAAAAAGACTGAAAAGCAATTATCAACAAGCTCATTTGAAGAGAACAAAAAGATTGGTCAGGTGACATGGACAGATCTCTTCCTGGAAAGTAACAAACAGGGAATGCCATATTCATGGGGAAACGGACAACCATCTATTTAAGAAAAAAAAGTCCATCCACAAAAGCTGTGATGGAGGTTCTCCAAATAACTTGTTCCACATGACCTCCTACTATCACGCTGTGGCAAAAAGAAATGAAACCATTACTGCACAAATCAAGGAATGAATCAGTAAAGGAGCACCACCTCCACAGAACAGGACTCCCACCCAAAGTGACAGAACCAGGCAACTCACCGAAGCATTTTGAGCTCCTGGGCAGCCTTCAGAATTATCTCATGCTGTCTTTGGCTAAGGACCATCACTCCTCCCAAAGACTGGTCAGAGTCCAGGTTTGAATCTGCTCCCAGCATGTCAGATGAATGTGAAGGTGGAGGAAGGGATGAATCTGAATGATCATCCAAAGACCGCAATCTGTCTCCATCATCTGGATACCACCTATCCGACAACCGTTCCCTCTCCCAGTCAGTCCTCTCAGGAAGGTAGTCTTGCTTCTCCCGCCATGTGTCATATCTCTCTGGATACTCTCGAATCCTCAGTTCCCCCCTGTCTCGGATGTCTCTGTCATAATGATCTCTGTTCCTATCCTCCCTCCACCTATCTTCACGGTATCTGTCCAGAGGTGGTAATGGTGGTAGAGGAGGGATATCCAGGTCACGGTTCCCCATTTCTCTGTCATCCATAGGTCTCATGTCCCAGTCTCTGTCCCATTCTCTGTCTAAATCTTGATCATAAATGTCTGAGGATCTTCCAGTCCTATCTAGATCTCTCTCTAGTTCCCTGTCTCTTGGCCTTTTCCAGTCATCCCACCATGAATCTCGTCTGTCATGGTCAGATGATAAAGGAGGTAGTGGTGGTAGGGGAGATAATGGAGGCAATGAATGGTGGGATTGCAACCTGTCATCTCTGTCATATGCATCTACAGAATCATCCTGATAATCAGAGTTGTGATCTCTCCAGTATCGTTCTCGTTCCCAGTCATCCAATCGCTCATGCTCCAAAGAAGGGTCATCTTGACTATCTAAAGGAAATTCATCTTGCATTCTATCATCTTCATGACCCCAAGAACCCCTGAGTGCCTCATCTCGATGGTAGGGAGGCAATTTGTCAGGGTCATCTCCTAGGTGAATGGGTTGATCTATATTGCCTGTTTCAGATCTTCCCGCTTCCCTCTCCCGGCTACCTGCCCTCCTGATGGGACCCGTCTCGCGGCTACCTGCCCGCCTGACCGGGCCCCTCTCGCGGCTACCTGCCTGCCTGACAGGGACCCTCTCCCGGCTACCTGCCCGCCTGACAGGGACCCTCTCCCGGCTACTCGCCCGCCGCATGGGCTCCCTCTCCCGGCTGCCCGCCCGCCTCACCGGGCCTCTCTCCCGGCTGCCCGCCCGTCCCCTGTCCCGGCTGCCTGTCCGCCCAGCTAGCTCTCTGTCCCGGCTAGAGAATACTCTCTCGTGGCTATCTGACCGTCCACCCAGTCCCCTCTCTCGGCTGCCAGACCGTCCATCTGGCATCCTCTCCCTGCTGCCTGACCGCCTATCCGGCATCCTCTCCCTGCTGCCTGCTCTCCTGAACATCCCCCTGCCACGGATGGACGCCTGCCTAGCCTGCCCTCTGCCTCTGTATACATATCCTCTGCCACGGCCATCGTCCATCCTGCCCATTCCCCGGCCATGGCCATCATCCATCCTGCCCATTCCCCAGCCACCGTCCATCCTGCCCATTCTCCCCCGCCCCCCCCCCACCCTGCCCATTCCCCGGCCACCGTCCATTCTGCCCATCCCCCGGCCACCGTCCATTCTGCCCATCCCCCGGCCACGGCCCATTCCCCAGCCACGGCCATCCCCCTGCCCTCTGCCACGGCCATCATCCATTCTGCCCTGGCCCCTTCCTCTGTTTACTGGTCCCTTGCCTCTGTCTTCATGCATGAATGGCCCTTTCCCTCTGCTTTCTGGTCCAGGTAGGCCCTGGGCGCTATCTGAAGCAATCAGTTGGCCTTCTGATGAATCCAAATCCTGATTTCCTGTTACAGGGGTTACTGCGCCGCCTGTTCTTGCAATGCCTGACTGCAAAGCTACAGGGTTACTAGAAAGGGATGTTGATTTCTGGTTCTGAATAGGTGGAGTAGGTGCTTTGGACTCTTCTACTTGCTGGTTAGGATCATGAGAACTCCACGTCCACTTTTTAGGAGGGTCTGAAACGGTTTCTTTGACTTCAGGTTTGGATGGTTCCTGTTGAGTGTTTGTCAGGTCCTCATTTGCCTCAATGGGACCTGCACTCTGTGCATCAGGAGTAGACTGTGTTCTGCTTACACTCTGCTGATTGCCAGCTATGTCTGTAAAAGGTTCTTTATTTTCTGACTGTGAGTCTGTCTGTGACTGCTGCTGCTGTCCCAAATGAGGCCTGGGCCCCCTCCACCGTGGGCCACTAGGTCGGGAACCATGTCCATGTGATGCATTTGTTGAAGTATAAAATTGTGCTGCCGGTCCTCGTGGGATAGTCCCCCATCTACTTGAAGACTGTCCATCTGTATTCTGTCGGTCAAAACGTGACCTGTATCCTTCTGAGCGCTGGGAGTCAAAACGAGGCCCTCTCTGTCTTGAGCCTTCAAATTTGTCATATCCTCTTCCTCGAGGTCCATCAAATCTATAGATGACATAATGGCAATTTTATTCAAATGAACATGTCAAATTAAAATCCTCTAAGAGAGAATTTCATCCCCCCCCAAAGTCACTTCTAACTGATGAATCCTAGTGTGCCTTAGGATCAATCCCTACTGAACCAGTGCAGAAGCAGAGAGACATGTTCTTCAATTCAATGTTGTCCACTGAAGACCAATTTAAGCCACTTGCAGATTACGTAACCCTAAAAGGAAATTTGGCTTAAATATCTCAGGACTGAAACCTGACAAAGAAAGCTGGCAAACTCATTTGAAAAAAAGCTTTCCACTTCTGTTTAACGGAAGATTTGTTGCAATCAACAACTCTTGTTGAACTTTTGTTTTGACGGTATGCAACAAGCCTACTTAACTATGGTGATGAATGCCATCTAGAAAAATCTTTAAATACAGATCCTTTCAGAAAGTGCAACGAACTGTGATATTGCCCAGTTCCATGCAAGATAACATGCCTAAAACAAATACACTTTTATTGCATTACTTTTTAAATTCCTTTTGAGAGAACTTACAACTGCTATTGCTTGAATATAAGGAAATAGGTCAGGCAAATTAATGAAGAATAATTCATGCAATTGCATTTAACAAGGCTGATTTAGTAAAAAATCCAATCTTTAAGCATATGCTCAAATAATACTGATTTACATAATAGACTAGAACAAATCACATTCATTTTACACAAAATAGAGAACTCGTGTCTGAAGTCAAGTTGCTTGGATGTTTGGGATTCACAGCTGTGTCTCACGGGATGGGGTCAGGAAGGCCAAAGCACGGCTGGAGCTGAACTCAGCAAGGGACACAAAGAGTAATAAGAAGGGCTTCTATAGGTATGTCAGCAGAAAAGGAAGGTCAGAGAAAGCGCACCCCCCCCTCCGATGAACACGACTGGCAAACTGGTAACAAGGGCTGAGGTACTCCACAACTTTTTTGCCTCAGTCTTCACTGGCAATCTTTCTTCCCACACCTGTCGAGTGGATGGACCGCAAGACAGGGACTGGGGGAGCATGTAAGAGAAGATCAGGCCCGTGACCACCTGAGGAACCTGAACATACATAAGTCTATGGGACTTGACGAGATGCATCCCAGAGTCCTGAGGGAATTGGCTGGTGTAGTTGCCACGCCACTCTCCATGATATTTGAAAAGTCATGGCAGTCAGGTGAAGTCCCTGGGGACTGGAAAAAGGGAAACATCACACCCATTTTTAGAAAGGGTAAAAAGGAGGACCCTGGGAACTACCGACCAGTCAGCCTCACCTCTGTGCCCGGTAAGATCATGGAACAGATCCTCCTGGAAGCTATGCTAACGAAGCTATGCTAAGGCACATGGAGGACAGGGAGGTGATTCAAGACAGCCAGCATGGCTTCACCAAGGGCAAGTCCTGCCTGACCAACCTAGTGGCCTTCTGTGATGGAGTGACTGCATCAGTAGACAAGGGAAGAGCTACAGATGTGATCTATCTGGACCTCTGATAGGCCTTTGACATGATCCCCCACAATGTCCTTCTCTCTAAATTGGAGAGATATGGATTTGATGGGTGGACTGTTCGGTGGATGAGGAATTGGCTGGATGGTTGCATTCAGAGGGTAGTGGTCAACATTATTTATGTTTATATTTACAGCTAAGTACATCTGCTTTAACATATTTTTAGAATATTATATTCTGTATTCTAGAAAAAAGATTTGGATCTTTGAAGATGAAAATAGCCAGCTGTTGTCACAGTGGGCTCTAGACTTCTCAGTTTCATAGCTAAAATTATATGTTGTAGTAGTCACAGGATACATCTGGCAGAAAGGAGAGACTAGGAAGCTTCAACAGATCACAGGTATAAAACACAGGCGTCACTCTTTCTTTGTCCTCTCAAACCACATCCAGCTTTCCCAGAATCTCCTAATACCTCAACTCCAAATCACCTTCCAGGATCTAGAGACCCTTTTCTCTTTTTATATACAGACCTCTGTCTTCACTCCCCACCTGGCATACTGCATCCAGCTCTGGAGCCCTCAGCACCGGAAAGACATGGACCTGTTTGAGTGGGTCCAGAGGAAGGCCATAAAAATGATCAGAGGGATGGAACACCTCTCCTATGAGGAAAGGCTGAGAGAGTTGGGGTTGTTCACCCTGGAGAAGAGAAGGCTCTGGGGAGACCTTACTGCGGCCTTTCAATAATTAAAGGGGGCTTATAAGAAAGATGTGGACAGACTTTTTAGCAGGGCCTGTTGCAACACAACAAGGCACAATGGTTTTAAACTAAAAGAGGGTAGATTTAGACTAGATGTAAGGAAGAAATTTTTTTACAATGAGGGTGGTGAAACACTGCAACAGGTTGCCCAGAGAGGTGGTAGATGCCTCATCCCTGGAAACATTCAAGGTCAGGTTGGATGGGGCTCTTGAGCAACCTGATCTAGTTGAAGACGTCCCTGCTCATTGCAGGGGGGTTGGACTAGATGACCTTTAAAGGTCCCTTCCAACCCAAACGATTCTATGATTCTGTGGATATTAGTTCATTACCGCCTAGTTACCAACAGCAGTTGACTTGTTGCTGAATTTACTGTTTCAGTGAGCAATTCACCAAACAAGTTCATTTATACAATCTCAAAGAATTTTAATAATCCTGATAAGTTAACACAGTAAACTGCCTTTTTTGGGGGCAGGGGCAGGTCAAGATGAACAGGAAGAGAAAAAAGAAGAAATTACATGGAAGGTATAGCTAGAAGGTTGGATACTGTAAGACACACTTCATCCCCAAAATTCTGAAGATTAGTTCAAGCCAGTTCTTTAGAGTTTCTCGAGAAAAGTTAATTGCTGAAAAGAACTGAAGGGAGTGTGTGTTTTTTTAATATGTCTAGTCATCACCTGGGACTTTTTAGCTGGGATGGCAGCAGGTAACACACAATATTTTTAATTTATCCCAAGTTCAGTTAAAAATTTATTAGGACTCTCTTTTCTACTAACTATATTGAGAAGAAACAGTAAACAGATTTTTAGGAAAGCTTTGATAAAACCCTAGAATGGTCATGCAATCACAATACACGAACGCACAAGGGTTACAGTGTTCATTAAATACTGTAAGTATACTCAAAACCAGAGCTCTTGTATGTGCATTCTAGAAATTTTTGATTATCCATAGCCTATCATCAAACATCACTGAACTCTAAAACAATGCACATAAAAGACATGCACTAGCAAATCAAGAAAACAGTCTGTTCAGAACTGTACATCCAACAAATCCCCAGGACCAGAAACAACACTTCTTAAAAAACATCAGGAAGTAGAAAATTACTCAAAGTTACAAAAAAATTCATTTTACTTTGCTAGCAATTCATGAATTATTATTCATGAATGACCACTTTGGAAGGAAAGAAATAAACATGACTATATGATTGTAAAGTCTAGCAGAGTATGTAAGGATAGAAACAATTTAACAGAACAACACTGTTCTTTGATTCAGTAAGCATCACATCAACCCATCTTGAACTAATGACCAGACAGAACAGATGTTGTTTTTGCAACCTGATATCATGTCAAGTATGTAAGAAAAACATTCCAAAAAAAAGGATCTTGGATTAAACCATATAGCAGGTACAAAACCACATAAAAGACACAGAACGCCGGCTTTTAGAGTAGCTTTACATTAAGGCAGCAGGCCATCCACCTGATAAAATGAAGATTTAAACTTGAACAAAACTGTATCTTACCAAAAGACAGCAACCTTCAAAACCAAGACCATCACGATGTAATGCAAAAGAAAAAGTGGCACAGAATCCTAATGCTAGGATCCTAAGGCTCAAATCCTAATTTCTTTCCTTCTCTCTCTTGTTTACAGTTTTTTGAATGCTAAGTAATGCTACATGTGTAGAAAACCATTGATTTGTACTTAACCACTACCTCTCTTATCAAACAGCCATTTTGAAAAGTGCACTGAATAGGACAATCACATAGCTGCAGAACTCTCTCACACGAGAAGTTAAAATACTGGTGAACAGCCTTGAATTTTCCTTTCTTTCTGCAATAAATCTTGGATTACAAACAAAGATTACTTTTTACTGTTTCTAAAAAAATATATAGCACCTAAATTGCCAGTAATTAGCTATATTAGTATATTCAACTGAATATATATCTGAATGCTTTTCTGAATCCCTTTCAGAATGCCTACATTAAAGTGCTACCATATATAGCAACACCTTAAAAACAATTCTTCAACATTTTTGCTTTAGATTTTCCTAAACTTGTGTTCCAAGTACCACAGACAAAATCTGCTTGGAATTTAGATCACTTTTCATATAGTGTGAGTTATCATCTTCAAACTAAGGACAGCAAACACATATCAAATATTTACAACAGCTTTCCTATTTTCACAAAAGGGATATTATGTCTCTGGGAATGAAAAGGGTGCAGTGTGCCCAAGCATTTTACTAGAGGGGAAAAAAAAAAGCATTCTACTCTAGATAATGCTCAGGTGAAAGGCATCTATCCATCCTTACCTTAATAAGATAAATACAGAGCATGGTGTACATACCTTAAAAACAAAACCTCCACCAAACAAGCACACGTTGCATGACCTCAGGAAGATTTGAGAATAAGATATTTGTTTCATTTCTTAATATATCACTGGAAGTCTTGTAGCCTGGAACACGTATAAATTAACAAAAACATCCTTACCTAGGGCCTCTGGGGCCTTCAAAACGTGCTGATCTGGGAGGATCTGGAAGCAATCCACCTGACCTCACTGGTTTATCCTGCATGGTAGGTGCATGTGTTGAAGACACTGCAGAAGTAGCTTTCAGTTCCCCACATCCTTGCTCAGAAGAAGTAGAGACAGTCTGTTTACTAAGATGAACTTGAGACTTTCCATGGTCTGAAGAGCCAAAGGATGAACTTACTTGAGAATGATAGGGTGAATAGACAGCTGAACTAGCTATTTTTGAGGCATAGGTACCAGGGGTGGGAAGCAGAGCTGGCCTTGGTGTCTCAGTAGACTGACTGCTTTGAGAACTGGATCCTGAAGGGACAGAGGAATTAGATAACTGAGAAACAGAAGAGAGAGGCGGGGGCACCAGCGGAGGTGTAGTTGAAGGTAAAGTTGGAGGCATAATAGGAATGCCACCTTGAGTGGTTTGAGAATATGGAACAAATGGAGGTGGCAGCGAAACATTTGCAGGATACTGATTCTTCAGATTTTGGAGTGAGCTCACTTTCTCCTGCAGATGGGACTGAGTGACCTTCATCTGTTCATCCCATGCTTTCCACTGCTTCTCATACTCTTGAAGCTGGTCTTTGTGAGGGTAGGTTTGAAGCTGATGCTGCCACTGTTGGTTCATTGATCGCTCCCAATCTTTATGAAGCTGCTGGAACTGTTTTTGCTGTGTCTCATAATGTCGCAGCTGCATGTCCACTGACATTGTCTGCAACGAGAAGACAAGAATAGCTTCAAAACACCATCTTAGTTATTTTCAGAGCCATGTATTTCAGTATCACTTGTAATATCACAATTTCTGACTTGGGCAGAAGCTTGAGGAACAACTACACTGAAACAAAAGCAAACGCCAACTGCGATGTCTAAAGTCATTGTGACAATTTACACATTTTTTGACTAGACGACATTTATGTATAAAAGGCACCTTTTTTTTTAAAAAAAAAAAAAAAAAAAACAGGACAGCTGAAGAAAGCTATAATCAAAGGGCTCCAAGCTGTATTATTACTGGATGCTAACAATGGCTAAAGCCCAAATCAATCTTCATGCTTTCAATATATACAGCACATGGCTATTTCTCAAGGTTTCAGTTTCTGCTGTTAATCAGCTCAGAGTTGCTTCAGCTGTCAGCAATTATTTTTCTTTAAGTCTTGGCCAGATCTTCTTATTTGCACAATGAAGCTTCTTTCAAGGGGGTACTGTCTTTTATTATGCATAAATACAGGTCCTAATATCCACGGCTTGATCTTGTCTGCGATTTTTAGGGTTCACACTTAAGAGATTTTTTTAAACAAGCAGACAGCCCAAGCTACAAAGAAATGCTTAATGTACAAACTCCACCAACCCAGAAAAAGCTGACTCAACTCTCTAATACAGTAATCAACTTCTACTTAAAAGCTTAAAGATTGCAACACTGATATAATTATCCAAACTTGTTATTAAGACTTTTTATTTTATTTCACTGATTATTTGAGTCAAAAATAATGTGAGACAGTGATTTTCTTAATTACTTTATCTGTGTATTTTTGGCATCTATGTTTACTTCATCATTGTATATATTTATTTTTGTACTACACAATGTTGTAAAAAAAAGCAGCTACCAAATTACTCCATGCAATCATCTGTTTACCTGACCTTTCTTCTGAACTGCTTCTCCAGCAGTAAAACATTCAAAGCTGAGTAAATTCAATATTGTGTTCAGCTTTGCTCCTGTATCACCCAGGTATGACTGAAAAAAAATCTTATGACAAGCGTAAAGTCTTGTATTTCTCATCCTACTGAAGCTTCATCACCATTTATTAATTCTTTATTTCATTCTGAAGTTGAGTGACAGTAGGAAAAGGGGATATAGACTTCTACCCAAGCAGAAAAAGTAGCTAGACAAATGAGCCAAGCATGACAAATTATTCAACTAGTTTTTCAGCAGACTATGAGAGCTAGGTCACCCAGGAAGTATATCAAACACCATCTCCTTAGTGTTTCACCTGTAAGTGCGGAGGCTGTTGCATGATCTGTTGATACTGCTGTACTATCTGCTGCAGCTGGGCATGCTTCTGCATTATTCTCTGATATTGAAATCCAACACGGTGATGGGGATGCTGCTGCCATTGAGCTGCTGCTGCTTGCAATTGCTGCAATCTCAAATCTTCCTCAGGGTCATCAGGAGGTTCAATATTGAGCTACAGAAAAAGGCAAATACTATAAATAAAGGAAAGCTCTTCTGTCAGAAGAAAAACACACTTGGTCACTACTCAGTTTACAGGAACTTTCTCAGTGTTTGTTATTTTATAACTCTGTATTTCAGTGTTCTGGCCACCCACAGCTTCTGGAAGGCTGATTTTTATTTCATTTATTCTTAACGTGAATAGTCTGATCTAAAGGTTAGGCTGATGGCAATTAGGGTATTCATACATACAGAAACTACCTACAGGAAAGAGATTAATGCAGATCTGTTATCTGTTGCTCACAGCAAATATAACGAGACAACAGCGCTTTTTCATGATGAGGTAAAGTAGCCCCAAGTGCATTATTTTTGCCACTTGGTAGGAACCCACATATTGTAAGTTAAAGTGGAGCACGTGCTGTAGGGTAATCTACTACCCTATAGTAATTTGTTCAAACATCAATCATGACGTCCATCCATTATGTAGTAACTGTTCTTAAGCATGCTGACAACAATATTCTGTGCAAAGTTCTTGGCTTTCAGACAAACTCTAACACACAGAGAGAAGGGGAGCCAGAATTGACAAACTGCCAAAGAGAAATTAAGAAATAGTGTCTTAAAGGCAGCATTCCTCATCTACCGAGTACTTGATTTTGCACTTAGGTATGACAAAGTGTTTCTCATAGACAAAGATGACAATGTTGGGGAAGGTGCGAGTAAGTCAAGCTTGGACTCGCTTGGTGCATGTGTGGGTGACTATATAAGTCTACATACAAGGAGTGTATTTTTATTTTTCTAATTGGTGCAACCTTAGCAAATGTTCTTTTAAGATCGCTTTGCCATATTTAGTTATTGTTACACAGTATACACAAGAATTCGATGGCATTATTTTCCCGTTTCTTTGTCCCATCTAGCACAACAAATGGTGTGGCATCACTTTACAAAGCCTACCTGAGTTTCAGTGGATGTAAGAGAAGACTCGTCTTCTTTGGAAGCTGGAGGCAGGGACTCATTAAGCGGAGGAGGTTCAGACTGCTGAGCTGAAGCACTCATTTTCCCTTCTTCAGACTTTGCTCTCTGCTCAGATGTGTCCTTCACTACTGGACCTTTCATTTGCTGCTGTCCCTGAGCATGGGCTTTTGCCCTTTGCTGCAGGCTAAGCAGGTGCTGCTGGTACCAGTATTGCTGCTGTTCCTACAATAGACAGAAATTTTCTAAGACAGCTTTCACAGGAAAAACCATGAAAATTAATTCATGATAGTCACTAGAATCATACTCTAGAAAAGTTTTTACATCTGTTTTGAGGGAAAGCTCACTTCGTCATCAACAGTATTGCAATGGATGTCAGAAGATCAAATCAAAATTCAGAAACCACTATGTGAGGCATAGTACCCACAGCAGAATTTATCTCCTACCTCAAAGAGCTTACAACTAAAGAGAACAATAACAAAAAGCAGAAAGATGGCCAATAATAAGCCAAATTACTACAGATGTGTGGTAAGTACCATACTTATTATTTTTAGTGCTTTTTATTCCTAACAACTACAGGTACTTATTATGAGACTAACTTAGGTAAAATGAAGGAAAAATGGAGGACAAGTATGAGTAAAGGAGCAGTAAAGAGAAAAAGGAGGAAATGTACAAAAAAGACAAAGAGGGCAAACAGAGAACACAAACATCAAGTAGAGTGAAAATGACAGCTGAGAAATTATGGTGGAGACGTTTGAATAAAGGCTGTCGAAAGGAAAAAGAACAATCAGAACCAGCATATAGTGAGGATTATTCACCATCTGAATTCTCATTAATTCTGATTCATTCAACAGCTTAAGAGGAAAATAAATATGGTTGCACCAAAAAAAACATCCATTGAAAAAGTGATCAAGCTTTCAGTTTTAAGTATTTCAGGCTAGAGTTAGAGTACTCTGGGTAGATGACAGTAGCTTCAAAGCACCGTAAGCTGCCACCAATATAAAGAACAAAAGACTAAAGATAAGTATCTCAACACTTAAGTAGTGGTGCATCTTAAAGAGACCTGAATAGGAACCGACAGTTCTGTATCTTTTCCAATACAAGAAATACCAGGCATCAAATCAGACTAGCAGGACACAGATTTAAAACATGTGGGAGGCAGCTCTTCACCTGATATGGCCTTGTGCTACCAAAGTCCCTACCAGAGACCACTGCAAGGGCTAAAATTTGGTGGATTCAAGACACAGCTCCATAAGCTCACAGAAGAAAAATCTACAGAGTTTAAAAATAAAGACACCAGTTGCAGCTAAGGCAGCTCCTATATTTTAGGGAAGTATCGCTATACACTTGATTTTTAACTTATTCTCTTAGCATCTGCTTTTAGTCACTGTCAAAGACAGAATGATAAAATACTGTACTTTTGGTCTGAGCTAGTGCAACCACTCTTGTGCTCTCACATCAACACCACCACCTCTGAGAATCTGTGACTGCTCTACACCTTTCATATCCTCTGTTCTTCCCTTCCATCCAAGCATGCACGGTTAAGAAAAGACACCTATATAAAGCCCACTCAGAAAAGAATCCAAAAGATGCAGGTATTTTAAAATATAAGTGTGACAACAACTGGTTGTTGGTAGGTGCTGTCTGATGAGATTTCTCAAAACTGAGCCATTCTGCCTATCTTAAAACAGGTTTAAAAGAAGTGCAAGCTTCCTCCAAAAGCCTACCTCACGCTCAAATCAGGAATTACGTTTTCTCTTGGTAGCAATCTAGCAGACACAATTAAACAAGGAGCTGTATTTTTAAAAAAATACTTCTGTAAAACTGTAATGTGGAGATGAGGTCAATGAAAGGAGAGGCTATGCTTCTTGGACTTTATGTTGATCCTGCAGCAACTCCTGCCAAGAATCTTTTTAACAAGAAT